TGTGTAGGTGTCGTGCAGTAAGTATCTAACTGCCTTCAAATAAATAGTATCAGCGTGCTGCACCTTGCTACCTACACTCATTTATGTGAAATTTTTTTTTTGTATAGTGTGTACTGTAGTAATTTCTCCGTTAGCCCGAATCACTCAAACCCGGAACTCTCCGATAGCCTGAATTGAAATGTTCTCGAAAAATCATTCCTAAAGCCGGAACCTTCCGACTTTGGGAATGATTTTCTGAGGGGCAAATTTTCCAGAAAATTCCAAGAAAATATTCCCGATACCCATAAAATTCCGGGGATGGGGGAGTTTTTTTTCCAGCTTTGAGATGAAAATCAGGAGCATTTCTGGAAATTCCGAGAAAAATTTTCTGGTACCCAGAAAGTTCCAGAGATGGGGGATATATTTCCGGGTTTGAAAGATGATGTCATGCGCAATTTCTGTAACTTCCGAGATTTTTTTCTGTTACCAGGAAAATTCTGGGGATTAGGGATTTTTCTTGGCTTTGAGAAAGAGTCCCGTTAGCTGGAATCTCTCATTCCCGGAGGTGCTCTGCATCAACTGTTCTGCCCAACGGAGATATCACTTTAGTATTTTTAACGGGGATACTAGAGGGTTTTAAGAAATAGGTTAAAATTATCTGGGTTAAAATTATGTACCGTATTTGCCGGCATGTAAGACGCACCACCACATAAGACGCAACTCCTATTTTACAAGGATATTTTGTGGATTTTTTTTTAAGTACGTTTCATCATACATTTATTGAAAGTGATTTTAAGGTGGTTTTGTAGGGGAAAACATATGGTTTTGTGCATGTAAATACAATATATGCTGGAGTCAAGTAGGAAATCATATATAGTATAGTAACATTATACTAACCCAACTCTACCTCTGATTAGAGTTGCTCTGTGGCTTGTTTATTTTTGGTCGAGAGAATTACCGACAGGATGTGAAACTCGTATTTTTGGCTGTGATGTTTTGTGTTGCCACGATCTGCCACCAGGGTGTAGCACCATCGCTATTGTTTTGACGTCATCGATTCATTGCAAATGGCTGACTGGCGGCTGAACTTTCTGTTAACATTTCTTTAAACTTTCTAGGGGCATTTTTCATTTAAATAATAAACAAATGTTTCTTAAAGGTAATACAGTCCTTAAATAATGTAAGACATGTGGGTTATGCATGCTGGGGAAGGAGGTACAGTGCGATGTTGTGAGCTTCCCTCTGCCGTTAAGCCAATGTAAGCCATTATTTACGTCTTCGGCAAATTTGCCATAAGTTTGTGATAATTTGGCTTGTTTTTCAGTATTTTATTATTAGTAACACAATTTTTGTGGTTAGTGGACTACTGCTCGTCCCAGACTCCCTAGCTAGGCACCTCCGCCTACAGCGCTCGGCCTCTCATCTGTAATACGGGTGCATTAGACGCAGAGTAATTTGTATAAAAAAAAAAAAATAAATAAAAAAATAAAAAATGCATCTTATACGCCAGCAAATACGGTATATTGGAAAACGGGAATTGTCTGTAAATTTTTTAAAGGAATGGATGAAAGTTATAGAGCTGGTCAACTGAGAACTGTAGCTGGTATTATGACCTGACCTATTGTTAAATTATATCCACTGGAATTAAATGTAGAACCCATACACGTATTGTACCAGTAGTAATCAATCTGATGGGTCCAATCTTTCTGTTAACTCATTAGATCGTCCTGTTAGGCTTACTGCTCGAGCTGCTACAGAAACATGGCATGATTGACTTGATACTGGTGAGCTGTGAGGCAGGTGTATAGCTTAGGATCCCCCCCCCCCCCAGTATATTGCATATTATACGATAAAAACACTGGATTGTATACTTGGAGTGGCAATTTTAATATTAGTAATGGTTCTTTTATCATAATTACAGGATTTGTTTCTAATATGAGGTACAAATAATTGTGGATTTGGTTCAATTATGGCGATAGGAATTCTTTAGTTGTAACGATTTTGGTTGTACACTGATGCGGTTTTGTTTGGTGGTCATGAACTATTTGCTCATGGAAAATGGATAGCCAGTCACCACACAGCCATCACACTGTCAACACGACTTTCTCTGACTGAACTATCTCAACGTTTATTATTGCTGAACATTGGTGCTACGTACACCTTTAATTTAATTTGATGAGTATGGTATATTTCTGTTGCATTCTATATAGATCTATCATGCCTAATACGTTGAATTTGTTTACTCAATTCAGCAGAGCTAGGAAGATGTACAGTCTCTTTCAAGATTCTTCGAACACTGTTGGAAACCACTGGCAACTCAAGGCCGTTTGTTTACTATAGTACGTAGTAAAATTTATGAATGAATGTAAAAGTGATCAAGTTCCCCGTCGCTTAATTATTGGTTGGGCTTTTACATTCTTCATAATTTTTACTACATACTATAGTAAACAAATGGCCTTGAGTTGCCAGCTGTCTCTAGCAGTGTTCGAAGAATTTTGAACGAGACTGTATGTATATCTATAGTAACTGGTGACTACAATTATTCTTACTTGACCGGTATGTTTTTTAAAATTCACTCGAGTTATTCATTACTGAGTAGGCAATCCTAAATTGGTCATACTACTAATTTAATATCACAAAGGTTAATAGTTATTGTCCTTTTTCTATTCAGAGAGAAACAGTGAATTATTGTACCTCTATGAATGCATATGTACAAATACTTATTCTGTATATATTTTGGAAATTTTCATACTTATCAATAAATTAAGACAAACTAATATTAATGATGGAGCTAATAAGAAGCTCATCTATAATGTTCTCTTCAGTATATGGATATTTACAGTCATGTCCTAAAATTGAAACACTGTTCATCATCATTATAATTTCTTAAGAGTAATGTTTGTTTACCTGAGTGTATCCAGGGACATAAATAACCTCCATTCGGTCGAGCAGAGGCGTTGGTATTGTGGCTAGAGTGTTGGCTGTAGCAATAAAGAGCACCTGTAAAAAAAATATAAAAAAATATGGAGGTACAGTATACTACAGTACTCTTGATTTAACGGAATCCTATATAACAAACTCGATTTAGCAGAAGGAATTTTTTTTTGTTATTTTTCGCTCGATTTAGTGAACTAGTTCGCTAAATCAAGATTAAATCCATTAATACGCTTACACTTACAGACACCTCAGGTCAGGTCAATAACATGGGATCCACTAATCCACACACCACTTCCACCGCAAACAAAAGAAGAGCTTATAAAAAAAAATGGGTGTAGGTAGTAGGCAGCTACCAAACATGGAGGTACTACCGCCTGGGAAGATATTGGAAGCATAATGTATTGTCTAATGGTAGATCATGCTGCCATATGGCATCAAAAAAATTGTGACCAAGTCCTGGGTTGATGATCTGACTTTCTGCCTCATTTACACACAATTGCAGTGTTTCAATTGTTTCTCTTACTTTGACAACAAAACATACAGTACATACTGTATATCCTTTCTCACTCGTTAATTTTTTTTTTCACATTTTCGTAATTATTTATGGTCCTTTATTATTATTATTATTATTATTATTATTATTATTATTATTATTATATATTTCGCCCCCATGCCCTGATGTGGGTCATTGACCTGTACCCTGGTGGGCTCATCCCGTAAAAAAAAAAAAAAAAGGTCAGGTCAAAAACATGAGACCCACTAATCATTTACCCTACATCAACCTCAAAAGCTTTCAAAACATTTTTAACCTTAGGCCAGTTGTTATTCATTAATTAATACCCCAACACCACAACATCATACATACAACATCTAGAGTTTAAAGTCTTTTGTGTATGAGACACTGAGTTGGAGGGAGGGAGGCAGAGAGGGGGGAGGCAAGGAGAGAGGGAGGCAAGGAGAGAGGGAGGCAGAGGGGGAAGGGAGGGAAGGAGGCAGAAAGAGGGAGGGAGGCAAAGAGGACGGAGGGAAGGAGGCAGAGAGGAGGATGGAGGGAAGCTGGCTGGTGTATGTTTTATAATTGATAATATAATGTTAAACATGATAGAAAAAATAATAGATAATTTGACATCAAAATTACATGACAAGCCGAAAAATATGGCAATTTTTTCACCCAGACTTCTCCACTTAGAAGAGGCTGGGTAGGTTTACACACGTTCTGTACACGATTTGAGGTGGCTGTAGGGTAAATGATTAGTGGGGTCTCATGTTTTTGACCTGACCTGTTGTTATGTACCCATTTTTTTATAAACTCTTCTTTTGTTTGCAGTGAAGGTGGTTTGTTGATTAGTGGATTCCATGTTACTGAACTGACCCGATGTTTTAAGCCTCTCTCAGTCCCTGTAAATTCAGTTGCCTCTGAAGATGTCTTCAATAAAGACTAAAGTGTGGGTGAGGGACCTGAGGTGTTAAGTAGAAAATGGCCATGTGTTGTCTACAAGGTAGGTGTTGGCATGAACTCAACAATGTGCAATGAATGAGGAAGGTGGGTACACATGAGTGTTGCAGCTTCTGGTTAACTGTTGGAGTCACTAATTAAAGGTGAACAGGAAGCAACATTCATAAATGTTTATGGGTTAAGTTTTCAAACCCAAATGGTCTTTTCCCCATTTATCAAGTAAATAAACTATTGCACAATAACCGAGATATCACCATAATTAACGCTATGAGCTGTGAGCATTAATAAGGTGTGAATCTTAGGTATAACTAGCTTCTTAGAGCACACATCTCAGTGGCTCAGAGACGGGAGTCGAACTGGCGATAGCCGGCTACTTAATTGATGACTGCAGTCAAGGTGTGAGGGCATAGTGGGAATTCCTGTCACATGTCCAGTAGATGACTACTAACATCTCATAGGAAAGTTACCGTGGGTGATGCAATTATATAAACCGAATGTACTATATGTAACCCACATTTAAAAAAGTATTACTGTCTGTTAGACAGGGATTAATTAATACAAGAGGTGAGGTACAGTGGGGTAGATGATAGACTGCAGGATGTTACTGACTCTAAAGTGTCCTGTATGCACATGTAATCATGTGTCCATAAAAAGGTTGGAGAAATTCAACATTGTGGATACTTCCTTGGACTGTGTTGATGAGTTCTGTTTTCCTGGTGACATGATCAGTGGTGGTGAGGGGTGCTGAAGCCTGCTCAGTTACAGGAGTCAGAAGTGGCTGGAGAAAGTTTAAGCATGTTGCTGGCAATAAAACCTTCCCTCTGTGTGAAAGGAATGATGTATGCAGCTAGGGTGAAAAGTGTGATGTTGTATGGCAGTGAAACACTGGCAGTTAAAGGGGAAAATATATGCAGATTTAAGTGAGCTGAAATGAGAATAATGAGAATGGTGAGGTGGATGTGCAATGTGACACTGAAAGACAGGAGGTCTTGTTCAGAGCTAAGAGGGTAGTTGGGCATTGAGAGTAATGGTGAGGTTCTGCAAAGTTTGGGCATGTAAAGAGAATGGATGAGACCTATTGGGCCAAGAAGTGCAGGAGCCTAAATGTGGAAAGGAGGAGAGCTAGGAACCTGACAAGAGAGACTCCAAAAGACCATGCAGCATGGAAAGTTGCCATCAAATAGTCTTGGCAAGACGGTAAGGTATAGGTATAAAGGATAATGAAAATTATCATTAATTACACATGAGACACAGATCATAGGACACAGTGTAGCAGCTCATGCCCCAGGAGAAAATGGAAGTACTGTACCAGACGCAATCACCAAGACATTATAAAGTATTATGATGTTAACATCAATGAATTATCTTTTACAAAGTACAATATTAAAAATCTCATACAGTGTATTCTACTTTTTGTCAAAGCTAGATGTACAAACAATGTACGAAGAGTGATGTGGCGAGATAAGACACTATACTCTTTCCACGCTAACCTGACCCGTAAGCCACGCCCCTCTGCAAAATTAATAGCCGATTGGTTCATAGACAATTCAAACTAAATTAGTTCACAATTGGTAAGCAGACCTGTTATCTAAAATAATGTTAAATATCTGGACTATCAAAATGCAAATCATTTCAAGCCATTAGCACTTCGGAGAGGAGGTTAGAAAATTTTAAATATTAATTATAAAAGGTCGATATAAATATGCGCTTATACACGTGCAGTCCGGGAGGAAGTACAACACTCAGGGGAACCAATCAGCTATTTGAAGATATAGACAAGGGCATGGCTTACGGGCCAGGTTAGCATGGAAATACTATAGTCATGGTGGTGGCATCTAGCAACCTCTGCCCTTGGGACCATGGCCTGGAGTTACTGCATCATGCTGTATGTGTCCTGCATCTGATAAGCAGCTGATAAATTTCATTATTCTTTATATCTGTACTTCATATAATGCATATGCAATATTACTTCCTTTTATAATCTTAAGGTACAATACATTAAAATTGACATTAACTATATGAAATTCATTTACAATGATCTAATCATAACCCCTATCTGGTGGAAAATTTAGAATTAACAAGTTTTTTGGTCACATGAATTTCAGATAAAAGAGATTGTACTGTACTAAATATCTATGATATAATACTCCACCTGTGAGAGGTCAAAAGGAAGATTGAGGTAAGTGTCTGTGAAGGTAAAGTTCTGTTCAGGATCAAGAACTTCCAGCAAGGCAGCTCCTGGGTCACCATGGATGCCAGAACTCAGCTTGTCAATTTCATCCAACAGCATCACAGGGTTTTTTACCTGTATGTGTAATATATTAATAACATTTACATAACTAGCAGGTGATGGTTGTTTTGCTCTTTCAAAAGGAAATAAAGTGAATAAAAAGAAAAGAAAAAAGGCATTGTTTGCAATACATTATCAAAACTGCACAGATGCAAACATGGAAATTATAAAGTTCAAATTCTTTAATTAAGCCTCATTTTTAATAGATAACAGTAAACATACTTAAATCTTGTCAACATTCATAAACACAAAACAAGGTATACAGAGAACAATATTTCCTTAAGGACAATGATATGAGCAGAAAGTGCCACTTCATTTCTACATACCTTAACATTTCTCAATCCCTGAATGACTCTGCCCGGCATAGCACCAATATAAGTTCGACGGTGCCCTCTTATGTCATGTTGGTCACTTACTCCACCTAAAAAAGAACTTAGTCCTTAATTCATCCAGGAAGAGAATACAGAACATATACAAATTAATATTCCAATACAAAAGTAATTCACAACAAACAAGGCATATACTGTACATAATTCAAAAGTTACTAATACAGGTACTATAATGAGAAATCAGCTTTGGCTTAAAAATATATTAAACGAATATACTGTATAAACGTAAAAAACAGAAAGTATCATGACCACAGTGGCACTCACATAATACAGTAAAAATCCTGAGTACCAACCAGACCTAAAACAGCATCTTTGCTTTATATAAATATTCACCCTAATGAATAACACCAACTTATTCAACAATGACACAACCCGTTGACGACAATAGAAGGCTGAGCTTGTAACAATTTCAGAGGTCGAGCGCAGGTCAGCTAATTAATCAAACAACCGGCTGACACTGTCACGCCCAGAGATGGTAGTAGATCCTTACTACAATACTTGAACAGGGAAGAATACGTAACTCAAGTGTTCTCTCAAAGTGTAATCACAACACTTCCTTGGAGAGAATTCATAATTTATTCTCTCAGATTACAGGTACTCCTCGACTTACGACCTACTCGACATACGACCACCCGGACATACGACCGCCTCAGTTGTACCAAAAATTGTTCAAATTAGGTACGTATTTTCCAGTACTGAAACGTTTCCGTCCCGTACGAGAGCGTGGCGTGGGCTGGGCCGCCTTGTGGTGTACAGCGTCCACGCCATAGCTCGCTCAGTTGGTGTTTGGCCGCCGTTGTTGTCGGTAGTGATCGCGCTGTGTACTGACAATATTTTCAATATTTTCGGTTCTAATTCCCTTTAAAATGACTGGCAAGCGTAAAAGTGAGAGTTCTGGTGGTGCTCAGAAGAAACAAATGGCAGAGGCAATTGCTACTATTAATAAGGGGATGCAAATGTTTGACGAAATGGATCAAAATGTTAAGCGTTTTGCAAAAGTTGACAGAATGATCTAAGATGCACTTGTTTGCTACAGGGATATTTACAATGAAAAGAAAAGGCAAACTGTGCAGTCTAAATTGGACATATGTTTTAAGGAGTCCCCCACTGCTGCCTCTTCACTCCCTCAAGATGATCCAATACCTTCAACAAGCAAGTGTTAGCCTGTCTGGAGAAAGCGACACTGATGGCCCACCCAGCCCTGTCTCCTCCTCTGCTTCATCCAATTAATGTAGTCTCCATGTTTAATTAAAAAATTATTGGGGCCCCGTGTGCATTCAGCTGACTACATTAAAGGTAAGTGCACAGTAACACTGAATTCATTCTTCATTATTGATTACTTTTACTGTACAGGTACTATATTTCATTTTAGATTTTCTATGTATTATTTTTTGCATTTTCGACTTACGACCAATTCGACTTACGACCTGGATTTGGGTCCCTAACCTCGTCGTAAGTAGGGGACTGCCTGTATATCTGCGGATATAGCTGCTTCGACAATAAAGGAAAAACAGCAAGAAGTGTTTACCCAACCACTTAAAGAGTTCTAGAACTTAGTTACACAATTAATGTGATACGAAAACAGCTATCACAGACCATCTGAGTTACGATATGTTTAAATAACAACACGAATCTTGAACAAAATTATCTAAAAATTCGAGAAAAAAATATAATGTGTATCTTACAGGTCATTGTTATTAGTAGAGCAATGCAGCATGGACTGAGTGATCCCGCCAGCACCAAAACAACACACCCGCGCTGTACTCAGTCTACGTGTGCCTATTACTCCGTGCAGACATGCCCGTTCTCTCGTGATATAAATATAACACACATTGTAAGAACAATGCCCAAGCAAGAACATTTGGGTAAGGCCCCAAACAGCAGGAAACACCTTACCATGAAGATTAAACTTGAAGAGCTAGCCATGGTCAACAATAAATGCTATGTTCCTGAGATAATGCAGAAATTTGGAACTTAATATATGTACTACTGTATATTAAAAGCATATCATAAGTGTGATGTACTTCATCTCCACTGAAATTGAAATCTTCACTATATAACACACTTCACTATATAACACTTCACCAATTCACCAGGCAGCTGTGGCCTTGAGATAGCTATGCATTTTGCCACTGATTCATGTAATGAAACTGTAAAAGTTGTGGGAAAATAATTTTGGTACTTTAAGAAGACTTAGAAATAAAGGAAATACAGTGATATCCCAGTTAGCCGGAAAAATTGGCGCAGGGCATTTTCGGGAATGAAAGATTTCCGGCTAACCAGACGCTTTCTCAAACCCGGAAAAATTCCTTATCCCAGGAATTTTTTCCGGTTACTGGGAAAAGTTTCCGAGTGTCTAAGCTAGACATCTTGCACAGACAGACACTTCCGCAGAGCCTAAAGCCTTGAGCCTAAACTACTGGAGTCCGTAAATGCAGTTCTAATTAAGTTAGAAACTCCATTTCTTTACTACAGGTATATTAATCCAAAATACTTTATCTAAATGTTTGGTAAAATAAATATATTTACAAATTAAAATTCTATATGATACACGCATGAATGAAGCTGTGTGTTACACCAAAGACTGGTGTTTTCCACTCCCATGGAGCTGTGGGGATTAGTGGGTTTCATGTAAGTGACCTGACCTGATCTGATGCAATGTCAGGTGGAGGTAGGGTGGGGGATTAGTGGGTCTCATGACCTGAAGATGTCTTGAATAAACACGAACCTCAAGTATTTTTAGAGAGATTGCAACAAGTATAAGTATAAATGAGCAAAGTTGTATCCCTTCAACATTGTTACATAACATTTTAAAATATAGTGAGAAAGCAGAAAGGTGTGGGTAATTAGAGAGATGGAGTGGAAAGGAGTGGTAACTTACACCAGTGTGTTGCCAAGTGCTCCTCAACAGCTGATATTTAACTCACTACCACGCAGTCACACACACAGCAAATTTGTCATACAATAAGGCCCTCACTCCTCAAGCTTGCTGTCATAATTGCCGTGTTTTTTTTTGTGTGTATGTGTGTGTGTGTGTGTGTGTGTGTGTGTGTGTGAGAATGTATGTATGTATGTATGTATGTATGTATGCGTGCATGCTGCCTGCCAGATACAGGAAAAGTGGAGAGAACAGCGTGACCTGTACATGGCTTTCATCGACCTAACCAAGGCTTTCGACTCGGGCAACAGGTATAGTATACTGTAAAAATCCAACATCTATTAACATTTTAAATAAAAAATAACTGAACTTACTGAAAGTATATTATAAGTACAATTATTTTACTTGAACTAGTTTATTATGAGCTTAAATAAGCCAATCTATGTTAATGTAATATGTTGACTGTTTTGAACGGTTGTGCCTCCCTGCTGATATGGACATCCGAAAATCAGAGTGTTTGAGTAACGATGTTGCTGTGGCTTAATTAGTCGACTATTCAGGGTTTTTACTGTAATTTTTTTGTAAAGGAACCTTACCTAGTGACATCCGGTGGTATGGACGACCAAGAGTCGTAGCAATTGATTTTGCAATGCTTGTTTTGCCAACTCCTGGTGGACCCACAAAGCACAAAATTGGTCCTTTGAGATCTCCACGGAGTTGTCCGACTGCTAAGTATTCCAGCACCCGACGCTTCACCTATAATAGGGCATACAAAGGTATTTTATGGTCATTCATAAAAAAAAAAAAAAAATTCCCTTAATTTCAAGGTTTAACCATCTTTACAATAAAATGCAAATATAGTACAGGCATCCCTTCATAATGATAGGGATATGCTCCTGAAAACCCAATCATATGTCGAACATGTTTTAGCATGGTGCCAATGGGATACGTTGAAGTACTGTTGTCAGTCAAAGTGGGAGTTTTCACCCAAATAAGCCAAAAAATTATGATATTTTTTTAAAACCACCTCAACACCACAGTATCACAATATTTAAGCATCACAATGCCACAATATCACCTCAATACCTTAATGCCATCCTAATAGTATAATAAAATAAATTACATAAAAATGAGAGAATGTGACACTTAACGAGTCACAGTCACTGAATTCACTAGAAAATGACAACACAAACTCACTATGATTGTCAATTAAAGTCCATAAGCAAAATGATCACCACAGCAATGTAATCATTCATAATGGGTTATGTGGCGAGCGAACAAAATCACTTCCAATGCAAGTGGGTATGTGCTCAAGAAGAAAGATTCCAGCAGCAGTACGTGGTTAGTCCTTCCCTGCACAGAGGACAGTGAATGTGTTTCTGCACATAGTGGCCATTTTGTGATGACAAATAGAGGAAGATGCACATGGAAATGCAAGTGATTTTTCTTCCTCATTCTTGACACAGCTAATGTTAAACTGAGAGTCCTATCACAAGAGAAAAATGGATGTTAAAAAAATTAAATTGTTAAACCGGAGAATCCTAAGTTGAGAGATCATAAATAGAGGGATACCTATACAGTTAAATTCTATTTCATTAATTAGTACGGACCAATTAATTTGTAAAACAGCAAAACATTTAATTACATCTCATTATCATCTAGTTTACTCCATGTACACAGCAGTATTGGCACTGAATGTACCAAGAATAAATTCAACCAACCAACATGTCCCATGTTTAATAAAAACAGGGTAAACCGATGATTTCCTATAATGTATACAATACGGATGTAGTCAAAAGTAATCATTCATCACTCCTATTACCATACCCGCGAGCTCAAGTCCTTTCTATATGGTGGGTCACAAGAAGGTGGGGGGAGGGGGTGGGGCTAGGGGACCCATGTAAGGTAGGAGGGCATAAGTCAAGGGTCACATCCATAGTGAGAGTGTATGTGATTTTACAATTATCCATAACACCTGAGAAGGTATCGTTGTCAGCCTTAATGACCCTGGCAGTTGATAGGCCTAAAGCCCAACCAACCAACCAACCAACCAGGAGGGCAGGTGTCAGAGGAGGTGTCATAAGGACTCAACTTTCTTTTAGTTATCTAAGCCTTTACTTGAGACTCTAGGGAGGAATGCAAGTGAGCTTTTGGCAGGTAATGTGTCTTTAGTGTTGATAAGGTGTCTGGCTTCCGTGAGGAAAAGCCCAATAAGACAACATAAGAGAGGAGGGAAAATAACTTTGCATTTGGCCTTGCTCACCACCAGTAACATGAAACTAGGCTGTTACTTGATCACTTCCACCTCTAGCCACCACCGTTCATGAAAACAAAAACACTTAATTAAAAAAAAAACATGAGAATGAATTGTTGGACAGAATGTGACTTGTCCACCCTGTAATATGTTTACTTGAGTTGTGAAAATCAATGTGAGGTGACAGTGGCAATTGTGTTTGGCCACTGCTCCACACTCAGCCCAGGATGGACGCTAAAGAACATCGATTGGGGAGTCGTGGGCAAATTATATTGGTTTGTGTGCAGCTGGCTACAATGTGTCAGAAATTGCAAGGTAAGATGGGGTCACCAGGCAGACTGTGATGTTGATTAAATTGCTGGGAGGAGTCTGGGAACTTGGAAAGTTATCTTCAGAGTATTTTTAATGGTTTGCTGGCATTTCATATATTAAAATGACTAATTTGGGGTGTGTAATGTAACATATTTGAACTCTTAATTCATAGAACTAATATAATTTTAGGCTGGGGAGACCACAATTGACAGGTGAAGAAGACATTAAATGGGCTATTGAGATTCTGTATGACTTGTGTGGGTAAATATTAAAAATAAATGTAATTTCCTCCCTCGGATTCAATATTTTTCCTAATATCAATGTTATTATAGATATCTAATTATATTATCTTTGTTTAAAAGCTGAACCAAAGCCTGAAAAAATTATAAATAATGAAATGGATGGCACATCATCATTATCATAAAATTAGGGTCCTCACCTATTTCTTTCGATTCTGTAAACCCCACGTGACTTACCGTGCAGAAAGGACCAGGCCAAGCACAGGGGTTAGGTGGTGGAGTAAATCAATACTTTTGACTGTGACTGTACATATTCAAGCAGGCCTATGCATAACTAAAACACATACTGCCCTCTCTAGACTTCCCATGTTGAGCAATCTACCATTCTCCTCTAGAGAAAACCAAACTAAATCCATATAACAAAATATTAAAACCCTTCAAACTCTAGTAGATAATAAGCAATAAGCTTCCTGCTGTCACTCCACATCATAGATGTAAAGGAATTTGATAGTATTATGGATATGATTAAAAAGGGTAAACTTTATAAACCTTTTCTAATCCATAATGATCAGCATCCAGATCTGCTCGGGCTTTGCTGATGTTGCAGGTTTCCTTGACAGAAATGGACCAGGGAAGCTCTACTATCAGATCCAAGTAATTCCGAGTCATAGAGTACTCCGGCATGTGTGGTGACATCCTCTTCAGCCGACCCAGCTCCTTCATTGACGCCTGAAGCAGAAAGCTCAATTTATAAACTTTTCCCTTTATGTATTACAATACTTAAGATAAAGACAGTTTCATTCATAAAATAAAATATAGAACATTAAGACTCATTCAGTGGTCATTTGTTACGGATTAAAAAAGTAAAACTTGGTTAAATTGTTAATTTCTATAAAACTTATTCAATTAATAATAATTTTAGAGTAACAAATGCCTTTCATATTGTTCTAAACAGAGAAACTTCTAAACAAGGAAACAAGCCATATGCAGAGTATTGTACACACAAAGTACAGTCAGTTCTGCTATAACGCGATAGTTGTGTTCTTGTAAAACATCGTGTTACAAGAAATCGAAAATTTTTTAGTAGTTAGCCTAACACAAAGGTTAGCGCAGTCTAAATAAATGTTACATTCATATCTAATAATGAAATCATACAGTAAATGTAACACTTTACCGTGAAGAAATATGAATATAACCTCATGGGGTAGAAGGGTGATTTTGAGGTTGATAACATCAAGTTTCTCTTCAAGTGTTATAGCCTTTCTTTTACGATCATCACCGGGAATTCTATCACCAGAACGCTTCTTGGAGATATTCTTCTTTACCATATTCACAGTTAATACCACAAAATTGGAGAAATAGTAAACAAAAATCGCGTTACAGCAAACAAGCGTTCCCGTTATACAAATATCTTTCCTCTATTCATAAATCGCGTTAGAGCCAATTCGCGTTGTCAAAACACGGGTTATAGCAGAACTCACTGTAAGTGTTATCAGTTTGTGTTGCTGTATCATCTCAGACTGGCTGTCTTTTTTTCTTTTCTTTTTATGACTCATTTTCTTTCTCTTTCAAGCATGGGATTGGGATATACTAGTACTTTTGCTACCCGTCTTGAAGCCTTTTATCTGCAAAAATAAGAGGACCAGAAAAAAGTTGGATAGTGAGAAATTTGACTCGGCAATTCATTAATATGCAGTCTTAGTACAAAGGTGCCCAGCCCACTGATCAGCAGTCATTCACTTGCTGGGCTCCTGCCAAGTTGCCAGATACCACTGTTTGAACTAATCCTACTGAAAACCGTGACATCACCTTGTTGGACGATTGTACCAAATGAACCTAATTACAGCTGCTCCTGGACTTACGACGGGGTTAGAGACCCAAATCCAGGTCGTAAGTCGAATTGGTTTAAGTCGAAAATGCTTAAATAACACATAGAAAATCTAAAATGGGTGTTTCTTTTTCTTCTCAGCACCACAAAACTCTCACTTTTAAGCTTGCCAGCCATTTTTAAGTGAATTACAAACGAAAATTTTGTCAGTACACAGCGCAATCACTAACGCTGGGACTCGAAAAAATGTAATTAAAAAAAATTTTGGTACGACTGGGTGGTTGTAGGTCAAAAGTCGAGGAGTAATATGGGGATTATGGTAAAATTGCATAATGTTGTATTAATGAGGCCGAAGATGTGCTCGGCTTGGGAATGGGGGGACCTTGGTCCACCAGCCAACCACCTGCCTCCCGCAAACAAATCACTTACTACTTTTTATTTTATAGTTTTATATTATACAGTCAACCCTCGCTTTACGCGGTCCCACTTTACGCGTTTCCACGTTTACGCGGTACCCTGCCGAAACCGGAATGCTCACTTTCCGTGGTGTGTGTACCCTTTTACACGGAGAGCGGCGCGAGCAGGGTGCGCACAAGGTCGCCCAGTCATCAAAACATTACCGAGTTCTTCACCCGCCACCCACCACAGCCGGCCCAAGTCAGTGATAGTGATAATGATAGTGAGGATATGGACTTATATGGATCTTTGAGGGGTTGACAAAGAGGCCCTGCAAGTCTCTGTGGTGGATAGTTATACAATTGATACAGGTGAGGGCCAATAATCTGCCCCCTGCCTCGGAACCAACCCCCCCCCCCATCCCTGTGTGCCCAGCCATCTTTTCTACTAATGTAAGTGTTAAAAAACCTAATATTAATGATATTTCTCTTAATTATTAATTGTGTGTGCATACCATCATAAAATTAAGAAGTTATATTTACTACAACGTAGGTATTGTGTCTGAATAAGTGGAGTTTGGGGGTCGGCCCGGTCTCTATTTCAATTAATCCCATATGTTATGTTGTTCACTTTACACGGGCCGCCGTGGGTTGAATTAACCGCGTAAAGTGAGGGTTCACTGTATTTTCTTTATTTCTAAGTCACATTGGAGCATTGAAGTGATATTCATATTATATTTTCTTTAATTCCAAGGCAAATTTGAGCAATTAAATGATATTTCCACAGCTTTTCAGATTTCTTATGTAAATAAACACTGCGGCAGTCAGCACTCGATGCAAATTATTAATATTTGACCATGAAATTTAAAGAATAGATAATAAAAGAAGTATATCCGTGAATTTAAGAAAGCATATTTGCATTTCGTGAATTATCGAAATCCACTGTACCCTGTGTTTGTGCAGCACTATTATCTAAGCTCCGAGGTTAAGGATTTTTTACATGTTTAAAGATTTTTACAATACCATTCCTTTCCTTGATCTTAAAGAAAATTCTAAATACTTAAAACATAATTTTTAATACTGTATTGTGAGATGAAGAAACCCTATACCCCAAAAGTTTTAAAAAATTCTGTTAATTCTTTTCAGTGAAATGAAATGAAGTACAGCAAAGAAAATTTTTGTGTTACACTTACAGTGCCAGTGTTTTGACACCTATGATGAATAATTTGGGTAAAGTTTCCCACTCAGACTTGTACCTTTACAGTCACTTTACCCAAATTCTTCATCATGGGTTTCAGAACATAACTCTAAGGGGGGTGTAACACGATTTTTTCTTTGACTGTACAGAAATGAAAAAAAAAAATTATAAAAATCTTGAATAAAGACTTAATAATTTCAAGTATGGCTTTGGTGTAGACCATTAAAAACATTTAATTGTATCCTTGGAACATTAATGTGTGGGCTGGAGTTGATGAACTCAATCATCCAAGTCCACTGTTGTTACCTTCAAACATCAAAAATGCTGCCATAGTCTATGCTTGGAAATGCTGGCCAATAATGAATACAATAAATATTCTCAGAAGGAAGAGAGGATATTTGTAGTAGCCATTACCCTGCGAGCCTCTTCAGGCATGTTTGCAGCTTTAATTTTGGCTTCCAGTTCTGCCACGTCATTCTCTTCATTATCCAAAGCATCTGGGTCTCCTGCCAAATTTCGGCCTCCACGACTGACATGCAAAATAGCATTTGTTTTATTTTCTTCCTCGGCTCCAGCCTCCCGCACATCCTGTAAGACAATACCATTAATTAACATTATCTGAAAAATACATATTGCTGTTTACTTTCTATGAGTATAAATTAAATTTATCCATACTGTACTATATTATTTCTTAAATGACTTCTATCAAATACATATCAACTCCCCTCTATAGTATTGGACAATATATGTACACAAAAATAATGCATTACAAATCAAACTTTTGAATATACAGTAAAACCTCGATTAACCGACTACATATGGGGGGAAGGGGCCGCCGGATAATCTGAAAGGTCGGTTAATAGTACAGAAAGTCTACGGAAATAAAACATACATTTTCAAAGTACCTTTCCCTAACCTACCTCATTTAATTCCCTCTATTCATTTTTGTTCAATTGCCATTCATATTTCAATAGAATTTGCTTTAAAACTTTAACCACTTTAGTAAATAAATATGAACCAGCACAGAAACCGTGAATAAAAAATGGAAAAGTTAAAAAACATAATTATGTCATCAAAAAAATTGTGACCAAGTCCCAGGTTGCTGATCTGACTTTCTACCTCATTTACACACAATTGTAGGGTCTCAGTTGCTTCTCTTACTATTGACAACACAACATACATATATTGTTTCTCACTCTTAATTTTTTTTTGCATTTTTGCATTTATTTATGGTTCTTAATTACTATTATTATTATTATCATTATCATTATTAATATTATTACATTATCGCCCCCCAGGCTCCGATGTGGGTCAGTGACCTGTGCCCAAGTGGGCTAATCCCTGT